TCCTCCCGGAGCTGCTGGTTCAGAGTGAACCAGCAGCTCACTCTGAACCAGTGCCTTATTTATACAGGTGAGTGATCGACTGAACACTGCAGGCAGCTGTGCTTTAGATGCGTAGCTTTCATCAAAATACCGGAAAATAAATTTCATATCACCCCGGTCGCAACAAGTGGGTGGCGAAGCGCATCATGACGTTGCATACCTGGTAGAGGTGTTTCTGCAGGTGTCAAATCCTATCGCTAAAATGTACACAAACACTATAAATGGCTGAGCAAGATATGAGTTCATCTATTAAACTGACTGAAGATGAATATATAAACTAAAAGCTGGAGTATAGACATTTTTTTAGCCAAGCTATTTGTGAGCAGGCCGTTCTCTATTGTTCGTCTCTACTTGTTGTTGGGCCTGATGAAGGAAGATGTTTTCACGCACTGCACTTAAGCCCATTTTGCAACCTATGTCCAACTGTTTTACAGCCAGGCTAGTTGTGAGCCTGCCTTTTTAATATTGCACTGAATATAGTTTCACATTTTTGTACTCTTTTCTTCAGGTTAACTTAGAAAGTCAGCCATTTTTGTTACAAGTTAATTTTCTGGGCTACATAAAAGTAATAGTTATGGAAGCTCAAATGTGAAAAATTAGACTGATGTTGATATGCGATAGTAATACTGCTGTTATGTTAGATTTACCAATGTTTTATTTTATCTTGTATTTAATCCGATTAATCGTAAGAATAATCGATAGATTACTCTATAACTAAAATATTTGTTTACATTATTTTATTTTATTATTACACAATATTGATATTGCATATTTTATTTTCAGATTTTAGTACATATACACATATACATACACACACATATATACATCCGGTAAAAGGCATCCAAGCATTTTCCCATTTCATATTTGATGGCTTCCATAATTTGCAACAGGAGTGAATCTTGAGTTGTTAAAAATTAAGGTTGAGGGTTGCTAGTTTGAAGACCGGCTGGTGAAGCCATCAGCATGTTTTTACGAAACAGAAAATCAACTCAGGAAAGATAATCAGGGAAGTTGATGTCCTCCAGTATCAGTGCCAGTCAACATGTGTATCTGTGAGGAATATGAAGAAGAAACTGTGGCCTGGTAAAGACAGTCAGCTTTCTTTCACATTCTCTCCAGGCACTGAGGCCGCAGTGCCTGGAGAATGACACCCAAATCTGCGGATTTTTTGACCCATAGCAACCTATGTCCAACTGTTTTATAGCAGTCTGAACAGCAGATCCAGCCTTTTCACCAAAAGAAATGTTGTTGTTTTTTTTTTCTTTATTAATTTGTGCCACTTCCATATATGGAACTAAATTAGACAATACACCCCATGGTTTTAAATGCATTGGAGATCTGAAAAATCTTTTCACATTTTATCAAACTTTTACGTAATTGACGCAAGACATGAGTTATAACTCTGAACCACAAGAAGACAGATGTAATGGCTGAAAATTATATTTATTTTGAAATTTTGAAACATCACATGCCAATTCCACCACTCCTGGTTCTGTCTTCACATCCAAGCAGACTTCTCTACAGAAGCTGCAGTCAACAGAGCTATGGAACCAACGTCACTGCGTATGACGTTTACGTCTCGCGTTCCACCACCCGTTTGTTGAGCATCAAGACCAGCTGTGTGCTTTGTCTGTTAGCCAATCAGCTTATCTCCAGGCATCATTTCCCACCCAACTGAAAGAGTTAAAGCCGGAAGTATAAAACAATCCAACTTATCTTAATTCAATTAGAAACTTACACACAACCATAAAACTCTCCCTGATCTGTTCTCATCTGATCCAGTGTGAGGACATCACACCAAAACCTTCTGTTCTTTCTTCATATAACATGGAATAAAAATGAGATTTTCCAGTCTGTCATTATTTCCTCCTCCTCCAAACTTGTGAACTCGTAATAATCGTTCTCTGCCATGATCGCTGTGTTCAACACCATGTTGTATATCACACATGGTAAAACACTATGACGAGGAGGAGCTCGATTTGGTGTGTCTTGTGGACGGTGAAAGGTGTATGCTTAAACAAACGTCTGAAAATCACATGACCACACATTGACACTTCGACTTCTGGCTGACCATGCTGGTCTTTAGTCAGCACCCTGCCACCAAGCCAGTATAACCAGTCGGCACATGTGACTATAACCAAAATGTACTTCGTAGTAGGGCTGTTGTAAACGAATATTTCAGTAATCGAGTAATCTATCGATTATTCTTATGCTTAATCGAGTAATTGGATTAAAAAAATTGTAGAATAAAATATTGGTAAATCTGGCATAACACTACTATTGTTACTATTGGACACATCAATATCAGTCCAATTTTTCATATTTGAACTTCCCAAACAGTTACTTTTCTGTAGTTTAGAAAATTAACCTGTAACAATTATAGATCACTTTCTTAGGTAACCTGAAGAAAAGTTGTACAAAGATCTGAAATGATATTCAATTTAACAACAAAGCGGCAGGC